CTTAAACATTCTATCCAGTGGTTTCTTCTTCGCGAACGCGGCCCTTGCGTCGCGTTCGCGAAGCACAAAAATGTGCTGCCCAACTTTCCTCTTCGCGAACGCGAGGGTACTCTCGCGGACGTGATGACTTACCAAACTTGGCTTTCGCAAACGCGATTCCTCCTTCGTGAACGCGAAGCTTTAATGCCCAATACCCCGGCCTGGTCTCGCCCTTCTACGCGAACGCGAACTCCGTCACGCGTTCGCGATGAACACTGCCATCACCCCTTCGCGAATGCGGTCCCTTCTTCGCGAACGCGAAGAGAAATTTCTCGCCTGCCCCAGTTCCCTTCGCGAACGCGAGACCTCTCTCGCGAACGCGAAGAAGGAAACCAGAGCTGGACACCAGAAATCCTTCAGTTGTTCCCAAGTCCGAAAAATGATCCGTTAACCTTCCGAAACTCACCCGAGGCCCTCGGGTCCTCAACCAAATACACCAACAAGTCCTAAAATATCATACGGACTTAGTCGAATCCTCAAATCACATCAAATAACGTTAAAATCACAAATCATACCTCAATTCAAGCTTAATGAAACTTAAGAATTTCCAACTTTTACATTCGATCCCGAAACCTATCAAATCAAGTCCGATTGACCTCAAATTTTGAACATAAGTCATAAATGATATAACAGAGCTATGAAAATTTTCGGAACTGGATTCTGACCCCGATATCAAAAAGTCAACTTTTCGCTCAAACTTTCAAATTTAAATTCCTATTTTAGCCATTTCAAGCCAAATTTAACTACGGACTTCCAAATAAAATTTCGATGATGCTCCTAAGTCCAAAATCACCATACGGAGCTGTTGGAATTATCAAAATTCTATTCCGGCATCGATTGCACATAGGTCGACATCTAGCCAACCTTTTCAACTTAAGTTTTAAACTTTGGAACTAAGCGTTCCAATTCATTCTAAAATCTTTTCGGACCCGAACCGACTACCCCGACAAGTTACATAACAGTTTTAAAGCACGGAATGAGCAGTAAATAGGAAACGAGACTACATCTTTTAAAATGACTGGCCGGGTCGTTACATAAGTGCTTCATCCCATATTATCAATTTTGTTTTCCTTATAAATTTAGCACTATTACTCTGTTTTGATATATTTGTGATGGACTGATGATTATTTAAGTTGTTTGAAGAGGTATATCAAATCTAAAGTAGGTGGCCTCACAATAAAATCGTTGTTGGTATACCACTTGCTATTATTGCTAACAGTGTCATGCCTCTTGATATGATATTTACAAGTAATGCATGACATAAAAATATTATTTTGATTCGCCGAAGGCATCTACAAAGATTAATCCCGTTATAGCAGAGTCGACTCGTTATAATATAGTTTTGAAAGCTTATTCTTGTTTAGGATTTGGGTTTGATTGTGCTTCCTCAGACATTTGTATGACATTTTGATTCTTAATAATATACTAACCCTTTTACTTTGTGTTCTAACGCTCTTTTTATGGAATACATTTATGTAACCTAAGATTTTTTTTAACTTGAATAAGAATTTTACTCATATGATTAATTTAAAAGATAATTGAATTGGATTCTCTTGCTAAATAATTAATTAAAAGATTTAATTATTTAGTTTTAACAAAAAAAATAATTTATTCTATATTGATTCAGATCTTAATATTAGTTCATCTCTTGTTTTGAATATTTAATCTTAATTATAATTTTATCCACCATAAATTTTATTTTTAAAAAGTAAAAGATTGATATGACATTTCACTTTTAGATCTTTATGTTTGTAGAATCATTAGTGGTATTGGCTCTTACCAACCATTATTTTCTCTTTCTCACACATTTATATTCTTAAATATTTTCTTAGTTATTGTTTAATAATTGAGTATTTTTCAATATTACAAAAAAATTAATTAAAAAAATATTATTTTAGTAGAAAAATAGTTGAAATAAAACATAAAAATATATTATCGTGGGGATATTTTTTTCTTCTCAATTTTAACTCTTTATGCAGTGCATTTAATATTACTTTTATTTTCTTGGTATTGGACATTATGAAGTGATAATGTATTGCCAATATGGAGGATTCTTATGAAATTGATTTTATTAAACCTTCCTACATATTTTTGATAAGAATTTAATAGATTAAATTTTATTTATTTTAAAATCTTAAATATTAAAATTTAGCATATAAGGTATTGTAGTTCAAAAAATAGGTTATTGCAGTTATGTCATCTTCCCATGAGTTCTTCTATTTAATAATTTAGGGCTATTTTGGTATATTAATATTGTATTTATGCTTTTATAATAATACATGCTCTCCTTTTTCTAAATAAATTTGAACAATATAATACATTCTCAAATTAAATTAGTAATAGGATATTATAATACGTTTTCGAAATAAATTAGTAGTAGGAATTTTTAAGAAGTATATCCTGAAAGTAATAGAATTACATGACTAAAAATATTTACTTGTTCAATTTTATATGAATTAGACAACCCGAAAGTAATTATACTAAAAGGATTCCTAAAGGTAATCATGTAGGATTCCTAACGTGTAGTATTATGTCCTAAAACTAATATGATAATAAGACTAATATTTAGAATCCGGTTATATCATTTTATTATGAATTATTATGTTTAATATTATAAGGTTATTTTTGTAAACCGGAATACAATGGATAGATAGATTGAGATGACAGCTTTATGGGTCAGGTGATTATTTTTCAATGTAGTTGAGGTCATGAAAAAAAAGAGTACTAATTTTTGTTGTTTTTTATCAAGTATCTAAGGTAAAACCATAATTGTTATGGCCAAACTTTAGGATAAGAATGATGATTATTTTTTTACCTCTCCGTTTTTATTTGTTGTCTCATTACCAAGAAGTTTAGTGGGAAATCAAATAATTAATCGTGCTTTTGTTGATGTACGTGTCACAATTAGCGGAAAACGACTAGTAACTAAGATGGATTAATTTAAAGAAAGAAACAAGAAAACAAGGAAAGAAGTAATCTATAGGAAATCAAATGATAGTTTTCTATTGGTTAATGACTCATCAACATTAGAATAAGCTTAGATTAATCATCAGAGTGCCTAATTAGCTGAAATGAGAATTCACGAGTTTATTAAATGTCTTCTTAGTTGTTCCATTGTCCATGTACGGTTGTGACTAGTATTTCCATTATACATGACATTGAGTTTTCTATAAAAAAAAATAAAAAATTTGTTAGTGTTCACTTTTCCCCTAATAATGGAAGATTTAATTAATTATAACTTCTCATAAGTAGTTTGAATTTGGATCTCCTAGTATTATGATAGTATGCGTGTCGAAATATTGGTCTCTTATATGGTATGTAGACTTGAATAAGAATTCGTTCAGCTCTAATAATACTGTCAAATGCCGATCAAACTCCCTAACTTTGGGTCGTGACATAGGTGATATAACAAACATTTTCACATAAACAGTGGCTGCCCCCATTGACTGACTTGTTTATTGTCATTGTCACCACCTTGAAACATGAATTTGGTTAGGATTTTTAAGTTGTTCAACCATGATTGCTACCTTCACTATTGAATCCAAATATCAATTCCAATGCCGATCAAATTATATTTAATTTTTATATGTAACAACTAAAACTCTACATGGCGATAAGAATGCAAATAACCTAACTAACAAAAATGTCACTTCAAGATAGGGAAAATGCCCAGAGTCACGCCGGCTAATTTACCCACAAGTATTAGCGCTTAAATTGACATAATTAATTGCCTAATTTGCTTGATATCTCTATAATGGTCTTAATTCTCCAATACCCATTATTAAATATGGGATCTTTATACGAATAGTCACTCGGATATATGGTTTACTTTTTCTAGTCGGTAAAAATAGACTATACACTATTTATACATATATATACATATACAGTCAAACTTTTTCATAATATCATCATTTGTTCCGATATTTTTTAGCTTTTATAGTGAATGATTATACATTATACACATATAACAACGCTTGACATTTAAATATTTTTAGCTGTTAAATAGACAATCCAAAAATCAATTTTTTTCTTGTTTAGTGTTACAAGTAAAAGATAAGAAAATTATTCAAAAATCTCAAATTTCTCTAAGTAAATATTAAAGAAATCTAATATATTATTAATAAATTCATAACTAAACGTACAAAGCTTTAAATTCAAAGACACACAGTTTAATAAATTCTTTTAAGATTGATGGAAGAACATTATAATTGTCGCTTGTTTCATAGATTTCATTCTCTTACAAGCAATATAACGTGTGAATTGACGAAGATCTGTATCCAAACTTTTAGCAAAAGGGTATCTGAAAGTTTTCACTTAAAGAATATCATGTGCAGATCTTCAAAATCTTATGTATTTTGCAAGATGTAAACTTTGTTTGATGGAAAAGATTGTATGCAGATTTTTAAAATTATTGTTAGTAAAATCTTGAAACTTCTACATGGCTGTTATAGAGGTGTAATTTTACAAAAAATATTTTGCTATAAATATGATTGTTGGTGTTATAGATAAAAAAAACTGTTATAGAGAAGTAAAATATAACTTACAAAATCAATCCGAGAAAAACTTGACTTTTATAATGAATGACTATTATATAAAAATGCTGTCACAGAAAGATACAGATTTGTATGTAGTATGCATATATTATACATCTATCAGCTATTGCTACGGCTATTTTGATTAATTCTTGTATCAAGAATTTCCCAAATAATAGGCAGTTTATCCCCAAACTAACTCTCCCCCGTTCAGTTGAGATGCTTTAAGAACCAATTAATATGACCACAAGGCAGAAGTAGAACAATTCCAAGTCGGGGGCAATTTATGTAATTCCAGTGAACTGTGCACTTCACTTTGAAGAAGCATGCACTGTCCTCTTATGCTTGAAGCCCTATAGACCTTGTAGTTTTTTGCATTTTTGAAGACACTGCCAACTTTACTATCCATTACAGAGTGGAAACTTGGTGCATACTGCAATTTAAACTGCATTGAATAGTAGATACTTTAAAAGCCTCTTCTCAAGCACATTGGACTGTCTCAAACTGAATTTAGTACAATGAGAATCAGAGCCAGATTACTAAAGTTAGAACAAAAATTCCTGTAATCTACAATACAAGCTAATTTAGTACATCCGACAAAATTGGAATGGTGCAGAGAAGATTAGCATGGCCCTTGCACGAAGGATGATACGCACAAATCGAGAAATTATCCCAGCAAACTATAGAAGGATACAGTTTTCCCAAACTATTTTAGTCTTCTCGCCAATTGTTGCCACACATCTTATTCTTGCATTTGTAGAAAGTAGTCATGGGCTCATCTGCTGACCTTATTTGCACTTGATAATATGCTGCTTCCCTGTAACCACACGCTGGACACGGCACTGCCAAGAACGAATAATACAGCAAAAGACAAGAGAAAACAATTCATATCAGCCCTACATTGTTGTGCGGTGTCTAAAACAAAAATAGCAAAGCACATGTTTTTCAGACAACTGTAGTGCTAAAGTTCAAGCATCACAACACTTGCTACTACCATTCAAAAGATCTCTTGGACTTGTTCAATTAGAAAGTGAATCACACAAAGACTGAACACACACACACACGCACGCGCATATATACAAAAAAGAAGCTTCTCTTTCTGAGAAACAAAAAACACTAAGAATCTTCTTTTACATGCACAAGATCGTGAACATTACAAATACAAAACTACCAATTCAGAATGTTCTCTTTATATCTCATTTTATTTGGTTTGCGTTGATCTTCAAAGATTAAAAGAAAAAAATTTGAATGTTCTGTAATTTGAAGACTCTATACTTTCTTATAGGTGCATGTTGCTCTTTTGATAGTAGAATAACAGAAGTGTCAAAAACCATAAAGAAACAATTAGAGTCAGGAAGTGAACACAACTTTGAGACAACCTAGACAAAGGATCATAGTTAATTTGGATAGAGGGTGTTATTAAATATTAGTTTGACTTTGTCAAGATGGTAATATTTGCCATTTTAGCAAAGAGATCTCTGGAGAATACTCAACAGAAATTAAGTCAAACAACATGGGAAAGAAAGAGCACTACTTTCGGATCTTAAATTTTCTAACTCATAGCTGTTAATTAGTACCCCTCATGTGAACTAAAGACAAGATAAAAAATCTGATACTATTGGCTCGCAAGTACCTGGCCTTTCATAAAATTACATATTTCATTTTTCTTCAGACCAACTCATCAAAGCATTAATTAGGTGAACCCTCTTGTTCATACAACATCTTCATCGACAAATACAGAAAGGGACAAAATAGGGAAGAACAACAAAAATGAACCAAGGAGAAAAGAAATTGAAGCTATAACCTATCAAGAAAAGTGTGAATTAGATTGTCCAAAAATTAGTATTGCAAGCACAATGACTTTATCTTAAAGACTTAGCAAATCGAGCTAAAATGAGAAGACTGATATAAGCCCTGCCCCCTAGCAACTTGTAAAAGTTGTGTGTAGTCTGCCAATATGACATAAAATAACCACTAAGTAGACAGCTATTCCATTCAAGGGTGAACTTTATGTTGGAAAATAAACTTTGGCGCACCATCTGTATTCTTATACAATATGCAGCATGACAAATATTGAAAGAATAAAGGCAACGCCATAGTGTTGCCAAAGTTGCATCTGTATATAGAGGAAGGCAAAAAAGGGACACAAAGGAGTCAACCCAAGCATTAAGGTGGATTCCTTTAACCAGAAAACCTTATGATATTACATAGAACCAAGTATTACTATCACAATTTCATACTGACATTCTTTAATTTTAAACTGTCAAAGTGATTTTATCAAACTTACCTCAATCGATGTATATGTACACACATACGTAAGAATCAACTACAAACTAATTGAGAGAATAAATCTCTGTAAAAGAAAGCATCAAATATATGGCCAATGAGGCAAGCAATTGAATCTAATCAATTTATTTGACTCAACAACCTGGAACCAAAAATCCAAAACAACATCATTTATATTCAAAGTCTTCTAGAATTATGGACAGCAAATTGACAACATGACAGAGTTAATAGAAGATGAAGAAATTTTTTTGACCAATCAGCTAAACCACAAATTGATAGAAAAAGAATGGGATTGCAAGAATCAAAAGTGTGCTTCACAGATATTTAACCACACAACCAACAAATATCAGCTGTCAAATGATAATATAGTTATTAGTTATTACTCCAGTAATATATAATCTTATCAGAACATTCAAGCCATTACAAGTGCTTAGAAGGGGGGCCAATATTTACTGATACTTTAAGCTTTGCTTTATCCTTGTAATATAAGCAGTCAAGAGCCAGTTATAGTTCTAAAGCCCATTAAACTCATTGGACAACAATTTATAAGAACATAAATTCACTTTTTGGCATGTTTTAGAAAATAGCTATAAGAAATCAAAAGTCACTTACATCATCAACCATGCATATTATATATGCACATCTTTCTTCTCTAACTATTAGTACTCCGAAGGTTTTTCAGAAATAATCAACAATAATTTGGTTATTAATTTTAGATGAGGAAAAGCTGGTCAAGACATATTCTATTAGTCAGAGGACAATACTAACTCATCGAACAACTAAGTCTTAGAAACATAAAAGCGAAAGCAGTGGCAGCAAATCATGAAAATATCAAGAAGCTATAGGTATAGAAAGTACTAAGACCTTCGGCTGTTGATGCATTCTCCATGTCATCTGTCGAAATCACTGGATCCATTTGTTTCTTTACTAAAGGTTGCTTTTTCTTCAGCTTAAGCTATAAAAAAGGTGTAATTAAAAAAAAGTAAACTAACTGAACGGATAATCAAAGGAACTAAAAGCTATCAAGTAGTATCAATTATGACAAATTTTTCTGGTTATCTTACCCGGCTCTCTATGTTACAAACGAAAGGGCACGAAGGGCAAAAGAATCTGGCTGGACGTTCCATATGAGGCAACTCATATTGCAGTAACATTGAACAGTCTGGGCAAAATTCCATTTGCAGCTAGCTTTCTTTTGTTGCAAAGACCTAATTTAAATAAACAAAAGGTGTCTTGCCGTTTAGATGACGGTACACATATTGACATGGTATCAAAGTAGGCAGGGGTTCAAAGATAGACTAAAATAAATACTCCGTTCTTTCTAATTTATGTGATACTCTTTTTATTGAGATGTTCCACAATATTTGAACCAATCATTTTATATATAACTTTCACAACTTTCAAGAAGTCAGTGTTTTCAACATTTTAAACTTTGATGTGTCTTCTCTTCATCAAACTAAATTTTCAATCATTACCAGTTAGTTTTACAATCACTAACATAATACATAAGTCAACTTAACATCCCAAACTTTGCCTCCAGTAAAATCCCATCACATAAAATGACAAGATTGAGCAAATACAAGCGTCACATCTCTAACTGTTTAAGCTTTTAACATGAGACAGTCACACATTTCTACACGGATCATGTTTACTTCTATATCCATTGGTTTCTTTTTCAAAAATCAGCACATGGAGTTTGGAAAGTGAGATGAAAAGGTAAGGATTAAAGAAAAGAGATAAGTTTTGAGCTTCGTTCATCACCCGCCCTGAATACAGCCCTATGACTACCTTATCTAAAAGGAAAAAATCAGTTCTTGATTCACAAGGCCAACAAAATCTTCTAAATTTTAAAATCTGTCAAAAAAGGAAGTAGTGAAATATATAAAAGTTTAAATTTTTAGAGACATGGTACACAAAGTTCATTGTATTTCAGCATATGGGCTTTTGAAATTCGGGTTAAACAAGAAAAGAAAACAGAAACGACTCAGCTTTTCTCATCACATACGTGATTTTAGCACTGTGGCCATTAATATGAACAAAAATCAATTCTTTACCAACAATTTGGTACCTAACAACTAAAAATCCCTTAGTTTCAAAAAAATCAGCATATGGGGTTCGGAATTTGCGTTAAACAATAAGAGAAAACAGAAAAAGATTCAGGGTTAGTTAATCATATACGTGATATTAGCAGTACGACCACAAATATGGAGAAAAATCAATTCTTGATTTAGAGAACTAACAAAAAGTTTCCTCAATTTGGTGAACTGATTGAAAGTTGAAACTATGCACCGTGAAGAGAGAAGCAAAGAAAGGGGATAGCTTACCTCAAAAGTAGGTATGCAATGGCGTCAGAATGAACAGTGGTTGCAGGTAAAGGGGGAAAAGATAGATATAGCGAATTAAATTAATGCGTTATGCCATATACCTCAATTATTATAGCGCATGCGCTATGCCATATACCTCTATAAATACCCTCTTCTTCTTCCTCAGCCTAACGGTCCCTTCTACCTTTTCTAAATAATTTTCGACAATAGAACCCACAAGGCTATTTTCGTTCCCCAAAAAACACAAACTTCAAAGTATATTTGTGGCATAAAATAAGACTCGAGGTGGAATTGCAAGAAAAGGAGGTCTACATTCACATTTAAAGTTTTCAAAAAAACTTCAAAATATAGGTATTTGGCAGAACCTTTTTTTGTATAAATTGTATGCATTATGTGTATTACATTTATATTAATTAATGCCCACGTAATTTTGGATCTCTAGTGGAACTCGATTTTTTTCACTATTTTTTTAAATTCCAGAAATTAAAAATTTAGGATTATTTTTCTGTTTTTTTTTAGTTAAAAAAAAAAATAGAAGGTGATTTGTAATTCTGTGCAATTTGGGATATTTTTCATTTTTTCTATTTTTGAAATTTTGCTAGAATTTATGGTATTTATTGATTTTGTTGAATATTTTATAATTGGAGAAATTTCTGAATTTTATTGTTTAATTAATAATATTGAACTTATTTATGTAATTGAATTTAAACAATTGTATGTTAAATATTGAACAATAATTGTTTGGCCGTCATAAACTTAGCCCTTTGTTGTATTTCGATTGTTGAACTAAAAGTATGATCATGTGCTAATCAATCAAAATACGATAAGTTAAACAAATAACATATTTTAGGATTCTATGACTGTTGAATAAAAAATTGAATAGCTGTCAGTATAAAGGAGACTATACCTATTTTTTGTCGTGAAATCCAGAAAACTAACATATAAATCGTTATGAATTAAATAAATAATAAATAATACTTCGTATCAAATTAATTAATAAAAAATTTCAAGATATTCTGATAAGTTAAACAAGTAAAATATTTTAGGATTCTTTGACTGACGAATAAAAATTTGAGTAGTTGTCAATATAAAGGAGACTTTGCCGAATTTTTACTGTTAAATCCAGAAACACTAATGGATAAACTATTATGAATTAAATAAACGATATATAATACTTCATATAAAATTAGTTAATAAAAATATTTTAAGATATCCCGATAAGTTAAACAAATAAAATATTTTAGGATTCTTTAAATGATAAATACAAATTTGAATAGTTGTCAGTATAAAGGAGACTCTGCCGACTTTTTTTTTTTTTGTAAAATCTATAAACTAACTTATATACCATTATGAATTAAATAAAGGATAAATAATATTTTATATCAAATTAATTAATAAAATATTTCAAGATATCACAATAAGTTAAACAAATAAAATATTTTATATTTGTTTGACTGACGAATAAATATTTGGATAGTTGTGAGTACAAAAGTTACTCTCTCGAATTTTTGACGTCAAATTTAAAAAACTAACGTATAAATCATTATAAATTAAATAAAGGATAAATAATACTCCATACGCTTAAATTAACACTCCTTATAATCTCAAACAACAGTAATAAATAAATCTTTTCATTATGAAAAGAATAAGATAACTTAATACGTTTAATTAATATTATTCAATGTACAAACATCGTCATGGATTGACCGACTGTTCATCCTGGACCCATTTCACGTGAGCTACTTACGCTACAGGCGGGCCATAGGTCTTCGCGTATATGGGATGGAGATTTACTTAGTCAGAATTTCCACCCATGATGCATTGACAATTTTTGGGAGCTTATCAAGAAGCACCCACTACATCATCGTATTATCGAGTTCCTGACTCGGACTGGTTTTTATCGAGTTGTAGAGATCGGTCGGTTACAGTTCAACTAGCCGTAAATCACCGCTTTGATCGATCGCTGGAGGCCAGAGACACACACATTTCATTTGCCTATTGGCGAGGCCACCATCACGCTACAAGATGTGGAGGTTATGTTTGGATTGCTAGTTGACGGTCTTGCAGTCCATTCCCCGCCTGTGATTAGGGAGTTTAGGAGGCCCGAGTATCTACAGCTGCTGGAGAGGCTTACCGAATTTCGTCCGGCTGAGGAGACTGCTATTAGTGGGATTAGTCGGTTACAGTTATTGCCTGTTAGGCAACATCTGGAGGCGCTACATGAGCACATCACGAATCAGACCCCGGATAAGGGTATTGAGCAGCAGTCTAGGCTATTGTTATTGATGATATTTGGTGGGATTCTTTTCCCGAACACATCGGGAAACCTCGTGAACTTACATTTCCTGGCACATCTGGAGCAGCTAGACGACTTACCGTTGTACAGTTGGGGCGGTGCCGTTCTAGCGTACCTGTATAGGCAGCTATGCAGGGTGTCGATGGGCAGCGTGAGGGACGTTGCTGGATTCCTTCCGCTTCAACAGGTAATAACATTGTCAATTCGTTTTATGAATATCATATATGTATTAAAAATACTAAGTTTTACGTCCACAATGAATATTAGGTTTGGGCTTGAGAGAGATACTTGCAGATGCAACCCCCTCCTCGACCAGTAGATCTGGATGCACTACCACCACCGCTACTACCCCATGCGAGGAGGTGGGTCGATAGGAGAGGTTGTGCCCGCGACGTTGAGGCTCGACATCACCTCCCGCTCTATAGGGATATATTGGATCTCCTGGATGGTGATCACGTAAATATCCGACTTAGTACATTTGTTAATATTTTATTTGTCTTGTGTTTACTTACTTATCTTGCGTTTACTCAAAATTTCGTATGGAGGCCATATAGCAACGAGATCATTGCCAGCTTGCCAGAGTACTGCTCACGAGGTCGAGCTGTGTGATTTTCTGAGGTCCCACTAATCTGCCTCGATATAGTAGAGCATCATCCGACGGGGCAAGTCTTACGATAGTTTGGCCGACCACAACATATACCTGCTCATCCCAGTTGGCAAGCCACTCATTACGGGCGGGATGATCGTAGTCAAGTTGAACAGGAGTACTTGGCTTGGCTCGAGGCTCGGATAGAGGGATGGGGTCTGAGGCTTTTCATGTTTCCGCCAGACCATCCACATGACGATGTTGACGATGACAAGCACATGGCTTGGTATCATCGTGTTACTCGCACTCAGATTGATAATCCTGATCATCGGCAGAGTCACTGATATGTTCCATATGTCGGGAGGCACGAGGCACTAGGACGTTATTTGATCTACTTACATATTATATGTGATTTACTTAATTTCTTTAATTAATATGTTACATTGTATGTAGGTTGTGGGCTTACACCGTATTCACCAGATGTGCCTAGTGTCATGATCCAAAATCCCACCACAGGCGTCGTGATGGCACTTTGTCTCTAAGACTAAGTAAGCCGATTATAATTACAATTCAAGCTAAAAAAAATTTTTAAACGATATTAAAAAAAAAAAAGATAATCGAAACCAACAGCTGAAATAATTACAAACAATCTCCCGAAACTGGTAGTACTGAGTCATGAACTCTAACTGAATATATGAAATGATCTCAAGGATCGAATACTCAATACTGTTTGATTAATAATAAACAGTACAATAAAATAGAAAGACTCCAAGGTGCAGAAGTGTAGTATGAGTACACCACAGTCGGTACCCAGTAAGTATCAAGACTAACCTCGGTGGAGTAGTGACGAGGTACAGTCAAAACACTCACTAGTCTAATAACCTGTGAAATATAGTATACAAAATAATAAAAAAATAAATAGCAGTGATAGCAACAATAATCAACTAGTGATATAAATAGCAAGGCAACAAAGACTCCATAAATATTACTCAAACAGGTAATGAACACAAGTACAACCAATAATCAAGTTCTTCAAAATATACATCTTTCACCTATAAGTTTTTCAAATAAAAATCTTTAGAATATAATTCTTTCCAATAAATATATTTCCAATATACTTTCTTCAAATAAATATCTTTCAAATATAATTCTTTCAAATAAATAACCTTCGAATATAATTCTTTCAAATAAATAACCTTCGAATATAATTCTTTCAAATAAATAACCTTCGAATATAATTCTTTCAAATAAATAACCTTCGAATATAATTCTTTCAAATAAATAACCTTCGAATATAATTCTTTCAAATAAATAACCTTCGAATATAATTCTTTCAAATAAATAACCTTCGAATATAATTCTTTCAAATAAATATCTTTCGAATATAATTCTATCAAATAAAAGTCACCATGTGACACCTCATTTCATAATCATAAAATACGGGTCTCAACCCACTTTCATATTTCCACGGCATCTCGTGCCAATATCTCTATCACAATCGCACGGACAACTCACGTGCCAATATTATCATCATATTTTTCCCGACACCTCGTGCCCACATTTCATATCTGTTGCGGCGTGCAACCCGATCCCATATAACATTAATCATACCTGTTGCAGCGTGCAACCCGATCCCATATAACATAATCCGCCTAGCAATAGCCACAGGCTCTCAATTTCAACATAGATCAGACTATTATCAAGTTTACCGAAACAACAAGACAAGTTGCACAAGATATAAAAATAAACACAAGAAAAATCACAATATCACATGAAAATTTCCAACGCAATAACCCCAAATCATCACATAAAAATTACCAACACAATAACTCCACATCATCACATATCATCCCTGATAATAGCCACCCTTATCTCTCCTATAGCTACCCTTATCACTCCTATAATAGCCTCCCTTATCCCTCCGCCCTGAAAATATCAATAGCCACCCTTATCGCTCTTATAACCACCCTTATCGCTCAGTATAATAGCTACCCTTATCACTCCATCCAGACAATATCCCAACACACATAACCACGGTGAAATGCCGCCCTTATACCCACATAATATCAACAGTGAAATGCCACCCTTATATACTCATAATAATAACTCAAATCACACAATAATTTACACGGAATATTATCACGACAATAAAACACAATCAATTCCTATCACAATTTACCCAACAATCACAGCCAATTCCAATGATATAGTAAAATCAATAAATTTCTCAAAAATAGCCCAAGGCTCCACATAATGTATATAAAAACTTAAAACAACAAGAGGGAAGGAAAATTAACTCATCATGACACAACACCTTCTTTAGTCCAAATTTTTGAAAAATATATTAGTACCTCAATTTAAACTTATTTAATAAATTATTTGCATACGAAAAAATCTATAATATAATTATTTTCAAGAAATATCAAATCAACAAACACACAAAATTCTCATAAAATTCCAAGTCGCTATCACACTAAATTATTATATAAATACAAACTCAACAAACAAAGAATGAGGTATGATAAATCAAGGATTTACTAAATTTTCATAATTTTTCAATTTTAATACACAAGTGTGTGTACAAATTTTTAACCGATATAGTTTGTACATATAAACCAAGTACGCACTCGTCACCTCGCGTACATGGTTTTCCATCACACAATTTCCACATAAGACTCAATGCCTAGGGGAAGTTCCCCCCATAAGGTTAGGCAAGATATTTACCTTTTTGAAGTTAGGCCAATATTCTAAAATTGCCTTCTTGCCTGAATTGACCTCCGGACAGCTCAAATATGTCCAAATTAATTCAATTCAATCAATACTAATTATAAGAATTAATTTCATATGAAAATACTAATTTTTCAAAAAAATTCGAAATTTAACTCAAAAATTGCCCGTGGGGCCCATGTCTCGGAATACGACGAAACTCACAAAATCCGATAACCCATTCAATTACGAGTCCACCGATACCAATTTTATCAAATTCCGATAACAACTCGACCTCCAAATCTAAAATTTTTGTTCTTGAAAAGTTTTGCAAAAATCTTTATTTCTTCCATTTAAATTCGAAATAAATGATGAATATAACCATGGATTTATGAAATATAATCACTTTTGGATATATGACACTTACCCAAGTCGAAGTCGTAAAGAAATCCTCAAAATCGCCCAAGAACCGTGCTCCAAAAATTCAAAATGAAATAAAGAAAATGACCATTTTTGGTCCTTAAGTTTCTGCCCATCCATCACTAAAAGTCCATTTTCCGTCACTAAAAGTCCATTTTTCGTTACTAAAAGTCCACATCAGAATTTGCTTGCACTAACAGTTATTATTTTCACTAAAAAGGCTCTAACTCCATCATACGAATTCGGAATTTGACGATTCTTGTTCCTATGAGTCACAAATAATAATACGAACCTAGTTGTTCAATCGAAACTCAATTCAGAGCTCATTTGCTCAATGCGATACCAATTTCGCTCGTTAAACAATTAACTCATATTTCACGCTAAAAATCCAATCGTGACTTGATGAAATTAGACCAAACTTTCCAGATCACTCCTATAATTCATTATCAAAATTCAGGAAGTCTCGAAATTATATTTCGATCTCTAGAAGTAAAAATAGACCTTTGGATCATTACATGCTTATGTTGAAAACATCAAACTCCTCCAAAACTCTTCCTCGATAGCCTGTAGTTTATCAACCATAACTTCTTGTACTCAACCCCAACTGTCAAACGGTTTATATTTATGCAAACTAGATGCAAAGGGCTACAACTTTTATGTTTTTTTTTATTGCCCAACTCCTTATAGATTGCGAGATATAAGCTCCCAAAGTCAGCCCTGTGCAACAAAAATTTCTGGCGATGCACACTGCTGTAGCCAAAATCTGTAGTACCAGCTTGAGTCAATCAATCATAACTTTTTGTACAAATTTTTGAATAATGAATAGTTTATCATTCTGGAAACTAGAATCAAAGGGCTACAACTTTCATATTTTGATAATTTAAGATTCCTTATAGATTTGGAGATATGAGCTTCCAAAGTCAGCTCTGTGCATCAGAAACTTCGCACATTGCTGTCAAAACAACTAGCAGTTAAAAATGATCCGAAACCACTTTGAAACTCACCCGAGGCCCTAGGGACTTCAACCCAATACACCAACAAGTCCTAAAACATCATAAGAACTTAGTTAAAACCTTAAATCACATAAAACAACGCTAAAACCATGAATCATATCCCAATTCAATCTTAAGGAACTTAAGAATTTCCAACTTCTACATTCGATGCCGAAACCTATCAAATCAATTTCGATTGACCTCAAATTTTGCACACAAGTCATAAATGACATAACGGATCTGTAAAAATTTTCAGAACTGGATTCCGACTCTGATATAAAAAAGTCAACTCCTCGGTCTAACTTTCCAAAAATTTAACTTTCCCCATTTCCAGCAAAGTTTCACTACGGACTTTCAAAAAAAATTTCGGACACGCTCCAAAGTCCAAAATTATCATACAGAGCTATTGGAATCATCAAAACTCTATTTCGGGGTCGTTTACACATAATTCACCATCTGATCAATTATTTCAACTTAAGCTTCCAAAACAAGAATTGTTCTTTCAATTAAATCCTGAATCATCCGAAAATCAAACTTGACCACCCTCGCAAGTCATAATACACATTTCAAAGCTGCTCGAGACCTTAAGCCACCGAACGGAACGTAAATTCTTAAAATGACAAGTTGGATCATTACACCTAGAGATGCAGCAGCATGTAGGCGACGGAGAAGCACTACTATTGCACCATTGCGGTCGTCAGGTTTCTGCAGTTGCTGTTGCGACATTGGTTGCTCAACGAGCCGATGCACGATTAGGTTTTGATCTTGCGTACATTCCGCCAGAGGATTACCATCATGGCCCAGACGTGCCCTCAGCCCGTGTAGATGTGCTAGGTGTGGCCAGAGAGGACAAGGTGGCCAAAGTGGAGGGGGCGGTGAGGCACCCGTGGAGGGTGTTGCGAAGGGTTTTCCGGGTGACCAGGGTGAGGCAGCGGATATGCTTGCATTCATGTAAATGTAGCGCATTTATTTTATGCGCTATTTCCTATGCTAACATACAGATGTTAAATTTGGTCGTTTCCCTGTCCGTGTATAGCGCATTTATTTCATGCACTATACATAAATTGGTTCGCCTCTTTTTTTACCACATATTTTGGTGGCTTGGGTTCAATTAGTTATTACTTTGTTTTCGGACTCCAACTCGATGAGTATATATATGTTAAACATTACACATTACGCCTATACCTCAATTCAATGAGTATATATTTTAAAAGGTATACATATACTATACTAAAACGTATATATTATATTAAAAATTATATTCGAGTTGTAAAATAAAAATTAAAGAAAAAGCATAAGCTCTTGAAAATAATTATTGCTGATCTTATTTAACTAACTCAATAGAAGAAGAAATGTTATCC